AGGCAGCTATTTTATACTTAGAGAACTTTATTTCTGCATTTCAAAAGATATATTTCAGGAGTGGTAGATGTAATGCTATATGAACACTGACAGCCAAGTGAATACTCAATCTATTAAGAGATCTTTTTAAACGGACATAAGACACTGGGGGGTAGGGGAGCCTGGGGGATTGTTAAGGGTGGGGAAAAAAGGAGGGAGACATATGTAATACTCTTTGTAATACCTCCGCAATAAAACAAAAAAAAAGATCTTTTTACATGAAAAAATCCATAAGTAAACTTCTTTATTAAAATACTAGAGGCCTGGTGCATGAATTCATGCACAGGTGGGGTCCCTTGGCATGGCTGGTCGGGGGGAGGGACCATGAGAGGTTGGTTGGCTTCCCTCTGCCCCATCAGGGCTGATCGAGAGGGCCAGCTGGCTAGATGAAGAAACTGTGGAAGGTTGGCCGGCCAGGGGAAGGGACCACGGAGGTTGGCTGGCCGCAGGAGGTTGGCTGTGGGAGCACACTGATCACCAGGAGCAGCTCCTGCATTGAGCATCTTCCCCCTGGTGGTCAGTGCACATTATAGCAACCGGTTGACCGGTCATTCAGTCATTCGGTCGCTTAGGCATTTAGATGATAGATAGATAGATGATAGATAGATAGATAGATAGATAGATAGATAGATAGATAGAGCTATTATAGAACCTATTAGAATTAATATCATTTTAATGCTCTCTTTTTAAAAATAAACTATTTGATTTTTCTAAACACTCATGTGAAGAACTAATTCACCATTCCTTTCCCGAAGCCCCCAGTGTCACCAAACATTTCCATCTCTACAAAATATACAGAAATTTCCCGAGTTTTAAAGCATCTTAAGAAGCTGATTATAAAAATATTTATATGAAGAGTATTTATAAAAGAGGAATTGATATTATGATAAAAAAAATTGACAACTATATTGTAGTGTACCTAATTTTTTTCTATTTTACTTCTCTAGGAGCAAGGCAAACAGTGTTTTCCTCCCCTCAAAAAATAATTTACATGGATATTCAAAATTATTAAGAATAAAGTCAAAATATCCAATAAAATATTCCTGTTTGCTTTCCTGTGATAGTTTAATGTGGTGAACCCTGAACTGTGTGAGAGTGAAAGAAGAGGAAAGCTACATTATCCGGTAGGAATAAAACTCCATCCAGAAGCAGCCACTTTCGAGAGCAAATCTTTTAGGAAAATTGGATCAATCCTGAATCTTTGTAGGGTATCAGCTTTAGGCTTAAATTAATAGAATTCCAAGGATGGAAAGACTCTCAAAATCCAATAGATCAGACACCAACATATACATAAAGTATTTCAGAGAAGGGGTCCCTCCCTCCTTTCTCATGCTTCTACCTTCTTTCATTTAACAAAGTTCTCAGATGGCTCATAACAGGTATCAAGAAAATAATGAATGAATAAATAAATGGCACGTTTTCAACAAACTGTCTTTTAAAGATAGATACCTGAAATTTTAAGTCTAGACCAGTGATGGCGAACCTTTGAGCTCAGCGTGTCAGCATTTTGAAAAACCCTAACTTAACTCTGGTGCCGTGTCATGTATAGAATTTTTTTGATATTTGCAACCATAGTAAAACAAAGACTTATATTTTTGACATTTATTTTATATATTTAAATGCCATTTAACAAAGAAAAATCAACCAAAAAATGAGTTCACATGTCACCTCTGACACGCATGTCATAGGTTCGCCATCACTGGTCTAGACACTGTGATGCTTTAATAACATTAACAATTCTGGATAAAGCAGATTTTAATAATGATATTGTCAGTACACTACTGTGTGGTGTAGTTGAAAAAGATTATGCTTTTTGTTGTTGTTTTTGTTAATATGTTTATATTCTTCATGCTTTAGCAAAGATGTTCCTTTGATGCTTCCATAAAATTTAACATTAGTGTGAAATAATTACACCAACATTATGTGGAAGCATGAAATAAAACCAGCTGTGGGCTGTATACCAGCAGGAAGAGGAGCAGAATGGAAACTCTCTGCTTGACAGATTAGTAGTGAGCAGTTCAATTAATCACTAAACTAGAAAAAATGAAAAACATCCATTATATATACAAACTTTTAAAATCTCAACAACTTATTTTTTTAATTGCTGAAAGTATTACAAAGAGTATTACATATGTCTCCTTTTTTCCCCCCGCCCTTGACAATCCCCTGGCCTCCCCTACCCCCCAGTGTCTTAATCATAACCAATGGTCAACAACTTCTTAACTGCGGAATTTAGCAGTAGCAGTGCTCAACAGAGAATAATGACTTAAACTATTTATTTTTATTTTTTTAACTTTATTTTTGTTGTTGACACTATCACAGATATCCCCATTTCAACCCCCTCCTCCACCTTTGCCCTTGTCCACCCAGCTCCCTTCTCCCCCTTCCCTCTGGGCATCACCACACTGTTGTCTGTGACAATGGATTATGCATATATGTTCTTTGGCTAATTCCTTCACCTTCTTTAATCTAGTCCTCTCATCACTTCTAACAGCTGTCAGTTTGTCCGTTGTATCCATGCCTTTGCTTCTATTGTGTTCATTAGCTTATTTTGTCTATTACATTCCACATATAAGTGAGATCATACATTTGTCTTTCTCCGACTGGTTTATTTCACT